ACCGCTGACGTCAACGCCCGCGCTTTTATACGGCGACGCCGGTTGGGCGTGTCACGTGACGGCGCGCGCGCACCCTGGGCTGGGTGCTGGGGCTCGCCTGCGGGATGATGTGCGCGTGCGCAGAACCTGCGCCTGCGATTTAACCCTCAAGAGCCGGGGGCGTGGGGTGGGGGTGGCTGCGGAGATTTCGGGGTGTGTCCTGCTTGGGCCCTAAACCCCTCGCGACAGTCCCCGCGCTGTGTGCCAAAGCTGAGGTGGCTCAGAACGCGATTGCCTTCAAGATGATTCGCAAAAGGCCTTTTAGATCAATAAAAAACGGACTTAGAAGTTGGATCCCGCCAGTGGGTTGGGCCAAAGTCCTATTTCCTGGTTTTGAGGTTGTTATGTAATTTGACACCTCTGGGAGAAAGCTGGGGAGGGCGAGCCCTGAGCTCACCGAGCTAATTCTGCAAACGCTACCTATATTTCTTGGTTGCACATCTTCGTTTTGGAAGCGTAGTCCCACTGTGTAGTGCAGGCTGACCCGCGCGGGGAGCCACGGCGTGTGCCACCCGACCCTCTGACGCTTGGTTTTTGCGTGAGATGGGGTTTCGGGTAGGTCAGGCGGGCACGCGGTGGACGCAGGAGCGTCCGCAATCAAGAGTACCCTCGCTACCTTCTGCATTCCGAGGCCAGGCCTCAGAACCGAAGACGGCATTCCATAGCTCAGGACTCCCAGCAATCCCTCTGCCTCCGCCTCGAGGGTGGGCTGGAGGCCGCCGCGGGCCCCACCGTCCTCGCTGCTGCTATGCCGCGTGCGACCGGCAGGAGGCGCCACAGGACCGCGCAGCGCGGCTGTCCCCGCCTGACCCGGGGCGCGCGGCCGCCCGCACACAATAGACGCTCATTGTTCCCGCGTCCGTGCAGACCAACTGCCCTGGGGAAGCCGCAAGCTCCGGTGGTTAAACCGAGGGGACACATCTTACCCTCCTAGGCTGGGGGGGGGGGCAGCCTGGAACAAATAAACAAAGCGATGCGGCTTTCGGATCTTGGCTCTAGAATAAACCGGCACTCGCCACCCCGAAGGAGCTCTCTCTGTGTTTGTTAGAGCCTAACCTCTGCTTGACCAGCAGGGGACACCGGGGATAGTGACAGGAGTCAATGGCAGGGATGCAAAGCCGCCCAGGCAGTGGCAGCCACAGAATTCACCTTCTGGGTTCCTGACTCCCCTGTCGCCAGGCACCATGGTGCTTGTGCCCTGTGGTCGGCAGCTTTGGGGAATTGTTTCCACCAGATTTTTTTCCTCCTGCTGTACTGTGAGTGTCAGAGACGCTTGCCGGCCCTGCCTCCGGAGAGTGGGGTCTTTACAAGGTCACTTTGCAGATGGTCTCATTCGTGAAGGAGATTCGGGTTGGGGCCTGCTCCCCAGCAAAGAAGCAACCCTGGCTTCCACCACCCAGCCCCACAAACTGACTGTCAATCTAACAGCAGTAGGAAGGGGGATCAGGAGCAAAATTATACTCGGGTACATGAGTTCGAGGCCAGCCTGGGCTATACTGGGCTATACTGCTTCAAAAACAAAAGAGGTGACTGGGGGCAGGATGGCCTGTCATCCATAGCTTTCTTTCTTTTTTTCTTTTTTTTTTTCCCAGACAGGGTTTCTCTGTGGCTTTGGTGGCTGTCCTGCAACTCTGTAGACCACACTGGCCTTGAACTCACAGAGATCCTCCTGCCTCTGCCTCCGGAGAGCTGGGATTAAAGGCGTGTGCCACCAACGCCTGGTTCCAATGCTATTATTTGTTTGTTTGTTTTGTTTTGTTTTTTGAGACAGGGTTTCTCTGTGGCTTTGGAGGTTGTCTAGCGCTTGTAGACCAGGATGGTCTTGAACTTACAGAGATCCTCCTGCCTCTGCCTCCCAAGTGCTGGGATTAAAGGCGTTTACCACTACTGCCCGACCCAATGCTAGTATTTTAATGATACCTTGTGTCAACAGACAGGGTGATTTATAAGTCTGTGTTTGTGTGTGTGTGTGTGTGTGTGTGTGTGTGTGTGTGTGTGTGTGCGCGCGCGCGCGCGCGCGCGTGTGCGTGTGTGTATACATTATTCCCTGTGGTATTTCTGGCCCTAAAGATCCCTTTAAGATTTCATAGTGTCATTATTCCTCAGCTTCATGAGGTGAAGCAGAGGATTGTGGGAGATTCCTAGCCAATTTGGGCTTTGCAGCTATACCAATTTCAGAAATAAATCAAGATAGCGATATCGCTGAGGGAAAGCGCTTGTCACAAATTGATGATCTAAGATTGACCCCAAAACCATGGTGGAAAGAGAAATTCACGTTGCAAAGTCCATTGTACATTGCCACACAGACATCAGACATCATAATGAGGCAGGCCTTGGCTCCTTAAGGACAGTGCTGGTGCACCATGTAGGAAGTCCTGAGTTCCACTTCAGACACCACAGAAACCAGGCATGCCTCACGCTTAGCCTGGGCTATAGGAGACCCTGGCTCAAAATATGTCATTTGATTTTGGTGTTTGTGTTTTGAAGTAGGGTCTCTGTATACAGCTCTGGACAGACTGAAACTCATTAAGTAGCCTAGGCTGGCCTCGAACTCACAGAGATACTCCTTCCTCTGCCTCCGAGCTGGGATCAAAGGAGTGCGCCACCTCCTCGAGAGGTTAAAAAGAATTTAAAGAGAAAATTCTGAGACAGGGTCTCACAATGTAGCCTAGGCTGTCCTGGAACCACAGACTCCCCCTGTCTCTGGGTCGCTAGTGTTGGGGTTCAAGCTGTGCGCCGGACTAAGAAATTTAACTTCATTTAGGAGAGAGGGGGTTAAATTTGCTCCCCGGGATGGACAAATCCTAAGATGCTATATGATGCATACTGAGGAGGAGGAGGAGGGGGGCCATGGAGCCTGTAGCGGGAGGAGCCACGTTGGCCTGCAGCATCTGTGGTCCGCAGTTCAGGCAGGACTGGGGCGAGGACACAGACGGCTAAGGAGCCTACAACTCCGCAGGGAGGTGCCACTGCGCATGCGCGCCGAGAGCAAGAGGTTGCGGCAGCGGCGCTTGCTGGACAGACGTTGCAATTGCATGGCGCTCGGATCCGGCTTTCCGGTGTGTATGGAAGAAATCCACACACGGCGAAAAATCAGAGTTAAGAATTGGTTAGAGGCAGTGTGAGTTTAAGTTCTGGTTTCGCTTTAATGTGTTATGTGGCCTTCGATGAGTTATTGGATGTCTCCTTAGATGAGTTATTGGATGTCTGGTCCTTAGAGTGAATAACAAACTTCTGTTTTGTTTTGTTTTTCGAGACAGGGTTTCTCTGTGTAGCTTTGGAGCCTATCCTGGAACTCGCTCTGGAGACCAGGCTGGTCTCGAACTCACAGAGATCCGCCTGCCCGGGCCTCTGGGCACAGGGCCAGGAAAGCATGCCCCAAGCGGCCCATCCCCAACATCACACGGCCGGCGGGCATGGTACTTCTGTCATACCATGTCATATCATGGCACTTCTATCATACCAGCACTGGGGAGATGGAGGCAGGAGGATTCGGAGTCCAAAGGGCAGACTGGGATACAGGAGAATTGGAGAACCAGGGTAAGATCACAACAAAAACAAAGCAACATGGCTGGAGCCATAACTCAATGCGTTAGTTACTTGCCACCAAGCATGAAAATCTGTGTTCAATTCCCAGTTCCCGTGAAAAAGTAGGGTCTGGAGTTGTAGTAGGCTGGCCTGCCAGCGACATCTGATGTCAACCTTTGATTTCTAGACACACAAATGTCTGCAAACACACTCGGATATGTAAATGCATACAACAAAGACAAAAATCCGGAGTGAGGCCGGGGAAACGGCTCAATGGGGAGGAGCACTGATACTAAAGGAGATCCTAGTTGGTCAGAACTCGGGTGCGCAACACACACAGCGGGCATTTAACTCGGGAGGCAGAGGCAGAGGCAGGCAGATCTGTGAATTCCACCAAGGTTACCCTTTTTGGGAAATCCTGTCTCAGAAAAAAATAAATTGTAAAAAACCGTAATTGTTTTAAGAATATTTCTTCCTAGCTG